CCTTAGACTGGGATAGTTTCAAGCCATCAGTCTGAAGCATCATGTTACATTTGACAGGAGTGAAAACAGATGCCAAACATACTTAGATTTCTGCTTAACGCATTCAAAAGACCCTGCATTTTGTCAGTGTGACCGTCCAGTAGGACAATATCTTCTCGCATACTCAAAGTCAACCAGATGACCGGGCAGGGAGTAGATCAATCCCTATGAAATTAGAAAGTTATATCAATTCGAAAATCCGTTCATAAAAACTAAAACTAAAGATTCAGATGCGAAACCCCACTGACTAAGTGTTGATTGTATCAAATCAAAAAAAACTCCATCTAGTCACAACTAAGTTAACCACACGTTATATAAAGCAATCTTGTGGTTGTATTTAAATGACCATTAATTTTTAGTATTAAAACGTTATGCGTACTTTCTGTTTCTTTTACTATCTTTTGTGTACTTTAGGCTGTGATATCTGGTAGAATGTACTTCTAAACCATATATATATATATATATATATATATATATATATATATATATATATATATATATATATATATATATATATGAGATGAGTTCGGATTTTTATTTAGAAGTAGTATCCATCATGGACTGACATTAGTTGGGGAACCATTGAAAATCTGGGAGCACTAGATAGCTGTTTCGTCCTAGTATGGGACTCCTGAGCATTACGCACCCACAACCCATGACCTGTGGGGTCAACCAGTCGGAAGTGAAGTGGATGCTAACTGAAGGGGAAGACGTTGGGTGACAGTCGCGCTATGTTGTGAATTGACAGAAGTTGGAAATTGTGAACCATTGGAAACGGACCCAGTGACTGGATAGTTAACGCGTTCGCCGTGAGACTTGGAGGTCCTGAGTACGACCCGTAGGTGGGTCGTGGTTGCGTACTGCTGAAGAGTCCCATACTAGGACGAAACAACTGTCTAGTGCTCCCAGGTTTCCAATGGTTCCCCAACTAATGTCTGTCCATAATGAATACTACTATATATATATATACATATATATATATATATATATATATATATATATATATATATAATGTGCGTGTGAAAAAGTGTAGTTGTCGAATTTATTAATCCGAAAAAACTTCATTAATATAGGTGTAAAACTTGGGCACTATGGTAGAAATTAATTCCATATTAAATTTGTTGATTTGATTTATAACACACTGTGATACAGTATTACCTATTCACTCGATGACGTTTCGAGCATAAATGAGTATTGCTCATAATCATATCAATGTAATCACACTACTTTCGACATTTGATTTTTATAGTTACGTCACTTCTTATATGGCGAAGATGTTGCGTCATTTCTATTACATGTGTTGAGTGTTGACTGATTCGATGAGCAAAAATTCAGTAATCAATCTCTCCCTCTCTCCACCTAATTGTATTGCACTTGAGTACAATGGCTTATCCCTATTGTGTGGTTGTGTTTTAATGCATGCATAGCAATAGCCGAGTTTTTTTTCTAGATTATTGATCTTATTTAGGCCTGTTATTCTATATTTAGCTAAATTTCTATGTTCGGCTATTCTAACTGACCCCGACCGACTAGTTTGACCTATATGCTTGACCTCACAGTCATTACATGGGATTTGATAGATTTTATTATTCTGCTTCATTGATTCTATCGGATCCTTAAGCCGACAAAGTTTATCTCTGAGTGAGTTTGTAGGTTTAAATGCCACCCTAATTCCAGCTCTGTTGAGGATTCTGTGTAAAGTTTCTGAGGTACCCTCCTTATAGGGTAATGCAATGGAGGCTGTGAACTCCTTTTTACTCGTGTTGTCGTTATTGGTCGAACTCGTGTGACTGTTATTTTTTCGTTTTTTGTGTGTCCATAGGAATTTCCTGATAAACTGTGCAGTCTTTAGGTTTCAGAACGAAATATACAGGAAAACAGAAGGAGTAGCAATCGGATCGCCATATCCCCAATCGTAGCAGATATGTTTATGGATAGTTCGGAAAACGGCTTTACAAACGTTTAGTCCTACACCAAAAATATGGTGGCGATATGTGGGGCAGAAAACTCACTACTAGACTGGATCCCGGTTGATAATCACTTCTGCGCTATCCGACTGAATGGCACAGTGAGAACCAAAAGGAATAGGGGGACTCGCCGTTGTCTCTTTGTAATCTCTGCTTACGCACACACTGACTGCAGCTCGGATGAAGTGAAGGACGAGTTCTACCGTAAACTGTCTAACCTCCTCTCGAAAGCCAAACGTTCGGACGTGGTGGTTCATGCAGGTGACCTCAACGCACAGGTGGGTAGACTGGGTGAGGCAGAAAGGCACTTAGGTGGCACTTTCGGAATCCCAGCTGAACGTACAGATAACGGTGATCGCCTATTACAACTATGCTCAGATAACCGCCTATTTTTAGCCAGCACAAATTTCAGACAAAATGAAAAGCACTGTCTGACCTGGTGTCCACCGAGCTCAATTCAGCGATGGACACAGATAGACCACATTGCTACTAGTCATTACTGGAGAGGATGGGTGGAAGACTGCCGCTCCTTCTGGAGTACGTGTTTGGACAGCGATGATGCGTTGGTCCGAGCGCGTATATGCCTGCGTCTCGATGGATGTAGGAAAAATTCGGCAACAAAACCACTACGAGTGCTGCTGGAAAACGGAAACACCAAAGCCGTGTTCAGTGAGAAGTTGGCTAGGCAGTTATCGGAACAAAAGACTGTCACTCATCGAGAAGAAGCTTGGTGCCATCTTCAGTCTGATGTAGAAGCAGCACTGAATACTGTAACCGACTCCAAAATAGTGGCTAAAAAGAGCCAGTGGATATCAGCAGCTTTTTCCGAACTAATGGATACACGTGAACGCCTCCCTGCAGGCTCTGAGTACAATGAAGAGCGAGCGCAACTTAAAAGTAGACTGATGAAAAGTCTGCACAACGATCGCGAACAGTGGTGGGCAGCGAAGGCTAAAGAGATGGGAAAGGCAGCGGCGATCGGTAACAGTAGACAGTTTATTTAGACTTATTAAGGTAACTGGGGGAAAAGGGTTAACAACAGTTAGTGAGGCTATAGCGGAGAAGGACGGATCTGCGATTCACTCGCAGGGGAGACGACTGGAACGATGGGCATAAATCTCTGAGGAACAGTTTAACTGGTTTCCAGCCATCATTACGATGCCCGCTATGCAGTCGGATCCTGAATGGAACATTGAGATATGCCCCCCAACACTGAAGAAGTCGAGAAAGCAGTAGGTAACCTGAAACGAGAAAGGGCAGCAGAACCAGACGGACTAACTCCAGACGTATTCAAGTATGGTGGTGGGGTGCTCCTAGTCAGGTTAACGGAAGTGTTAGCTAGTATATGGGAATCAAATTTGATCCCCTCTGACTGGTCTAAGTCACTGATTATCCCAGTCTTCAAGAAAGGTGAGAAGTCCTCTTGTAATAACCACAAAGAAATCAGCTTGACGAACATAGTGTCTAAGATCCTATAATTCGTTCTATAATTCGTCAACACCTGAGTGGAGCTCGGGAACAGCAAACCCGAGAAAACCAGGCAGGCTTTAGACCTGGCCGTGGATGTATCTATCAAATATTCACACTGCGCCAGGTCCTGGAACATAGGCATGCTTACAGATGCCCGAATATAGCTGTATTTCTCGACCTGAAGGCGGCATTTGACTCCGTTGATCGAGAAGTCTTATGGCAATGTCTGTCACTGAAAGTCGTGCCTGGTAAGTACATCACGTTATTGAAAGCTCTCTACTCGAACACTTGTGGGCATGTTAGAGCCTATGGCGAGTTGTCCAGGGAGCTATACTCATCGAGTGGTGTCCGTCAAGGATGCCCACTATCTCCATTCTTATTTGATTTTATCATAGATATTCTTATGGAGGTTTCCCTCTCGTCACCTAGTTACACAGATGTTGACCTAATCACAGGTGAATTTTCGTTAGACCCAGAATATGCAGATGACATAGTCCTGTTAAGTGAAGACACTGACAAGATACAGAGTCTTCTGGACACACTGAGTGGGAATTTGAGAATGTATGAGATGCGATTTTCGCCTAAATGCAAATTTTTGCTCCAGGGCTGGTCTTCAGCGGTGCCGCGGCTAACAAAAGAGAGTGAAGTGGTTGAGTGTGTTGACCACTTCACTTACCTGGGAAGTAGGATCAGCCCTGGTGGGTTAGTTGCCAATGAAATCTCTACAGGGATACAAAAGGCTCGATTGGCTTTTGCCAATTTACGCCACCTATGGCGCCGCCGTGATATTCGTTTGTCTATTAAGGGTAGTGTGTACTACAAGTGCACAGCAGTCCTGTCTGTCCTACTGTATGGCTGTGAAACATGGCCATTGAAAGTGGAAGATATGAGAAGGCTTGAAGTGTTTGACCACTGTTGCCTTCGTAGTATAGGCTGTATTCCGTGGTGTCACCAGGTGAGTGAGTAATGCAGAAGTTAGGAGTAGAGTTTTAGGGAGTAGAGGTAAGTCAGTTGACGAGGTTATGAACCTTCATCGACTGAGATGGTTGGGACACGTACTACGTATGCCTAGTCACCGATTGCCTTGTCATACAATGTTGGCCGAAGTAGGTGCAGGTTGGAAAAAGGCCCGAGATGGCCAGACTAAAACATGGTACCAATGTATGAAGTCTCTGACTGTTGGTTTGAGCCAGGTGGGGCGATGCAGACAAGGTGGTTGGGGTCGGCGAGACAAGAGGAACCAGTGGTTGGAGACTGTAGGTGATATGGCTGAGAACCGATGTCAGTGGCGCAGATGTATACACACATTATCCTCATCTTAACTACACTACACCGAATCTCACCATTTTGTCACTCCTCTTTCCTTTCTTCTCGTACTTTATATTTCTGTTGACTGCATTCACTTATCTTCATCCTTCACCTCACTACCTTTCTACTTGATGAACTGACGTGAGGTGTGGCAACTCGGACCGTTACGCAGTAATGACTGGTCTTATGTTGATAATGATTGATTGATAGGTCTCAGCGGACATTCAGCATGGGTTCTGATATTGTTACTTAACTGTCCAAGTTGTCACAACTCACATCAATGTACAGAGTAGTCACATGATAAAACTGGGATGACGAAAGATGAAGATATGTATGCATCTGCGCCGCTGGAGTTGACTTTGAGCCATTTCACCTCGAGTCCTCTAATCATTTACTTCGGTTATCACGCGGACCCCAATCGGAAAGTCAATATTTCTTTACACGACAAAGATAAACAGTCAGTGATTCCATGAATCGATGCCACGTTTTACGTCATAGATACTGTCAAGGTGTGCTGAAAATAGTAGATAGCATCAGTGTATTGGATTTAAGACAAAAATACTGACTGATGGTTGAAATGAAAAGGGTTGCTTATTGCAACCTCTACTTTGCAAGCAGTTTTTCGTTTCAAAATTACTTATAAATCACTACAGATTGACTTAACGACCGTTATTAGTAGCTAACCCAACAATTTAGCTTAAGTTACTTCAGCTGTCATCCAGTTGGATTCTTCAGGAGTTGATCGTCGCTTGAGAATAGGAACTGAGACTTTGGGTAAGGATACGCTTGTATCTTAATCGATACAGAAAATACACGCCTAGAGAAATGTTTTATATTACGTCACCGATAGCAGGTAGTGCTAATCGCAGATTACCTGAATTCGCTTCTCATTTCTGCCGTACAAAACGTCTGTTGCTGAAGGTTGGGTCGAGTCGATGAATCACAAAGGCTTCTTATAAACGTTTTGGCGAGAAATCACCGCACTCCCTCGTGTTCGACAATGATGAACTATCAAAGATGAAACTGAAATTAATGGAAAACGTGTATATTGATTTTAATCCGAAAGTATGAATGTCCTACTGAGCCATAACGCGTGAACAAAACTGGTGTTAGGAGTTCTCATACCAGAGATTGTTATTTTATTTCGAGAGATTTACTTGGAGATTAATACTCGTGGTTGACACTGGACAACGACAGTACTCGGAAAGCGTTAACTATTGGATCCCAACCCCTCACTGGTTAAATGGTGACGTACACACCGGTAAACCTCCTGGTCTTGGGTTCGATCCCACATAGGATCGTGTGTGCCCATTGCTGAGTAGTCCCGATGTAATATAAAACTGTTGTCCTTTGCTCTCAGATTCTGAATACGTCTCTGACTCGTGATGGGAACACATTTCAGTCTCGTGTCAATACTATCCAGGGGAAATGTACAAGGAAACGAGCCAGATTTCCAAGTGGCTCAGTCAAAGAGTTAATGAAAATTAACAGTGATCATGAAGACTGTTTGTTTTTAGTTCGACTCATCTGAGCTGTGAGCATTCAGGTGCCCTTATGACAACCTGACGTCTAAAACAACTATTTTTGAACTGAAGTAATATTCAGGTTTGAACAGTTAATATCATAAGCTGACTTGGTGATAGTGACTTCTAATTAACAAGCAAATGTAACTGATTTAGCATGTATTCATTGTCTGGCACTCCTACAACTTATTGGTTCGAAATCATTGTCATAGAAAATTTCACAGAGTGTTATGCATACACTGACTTTAAGTTAAACGCTTAGGCGGAAGTATCGCTATCACACACAGTATGACAGCATTGGGCTAAAAGGGAATGCCGGGTATAATCCACCAGATAAATAAAATCATCTAACGAACTCAACTATCTCATCCACTTTCATATGTGTAGGCTAATAATGCAGCACTGTCTTATTGAAGGTGTTCAAAAGGGTTGGATCTGATGTCAGTAACTTCGTCGCAAAAACTATAGAAGCATATTTTGCGTGATCCTATCATCAGTCTTTTTCAGAATTCTATCTTTTTACAGGACTATGTTGTCTACTTATTCTAAATCTGTAAAAGAATCTCATTCAATCAAGGTCAATTACAAGACGTCTATGCATTCGTGAATATGATCAAGTAATGTATCGTGGGGAAAAAATCGACAAACACCCATCGTGAGCGGACACCCACAGTACGTGCATATCCGCTTAAGTATATTATATCCTCAACAATCTATTCAGGTTGAATGCTTCAGTAGTTATTATTATTATCAATATCGATGGTTATAATTTTATTTATTTTAACATTTGTATTTTTTAAATTCCAGATATATAAAGGCTATGTAGATGATCCACGGAATACTGATAATGCGTGGATGGAGACTGTAGCAGTGAATTTTCATGATGATCAAGGTGACTCTTTAGCATTGTTTCCCTTAACTGCGGGTAAGTCGCACACGACTAACTATACCAACTTAATGCATCCTAGAGTTGTTTTTTTTACTAAGAGAAAAACAAATAATTTGTTCCATTTACCAATAGGCTTTGGTTAGCACAACGTTTAATCCCGTAGAGGCGTTCTGTTAGTTGGGTTACGCCAATGCAGCCTGTATATATCACTTATAGTGTAGGATAAGCTTGAGTGGTAGGTGTATGTGCTAGGCTATGACAGACGCCTAGTGTATGCTTACTACCCACTTGTTCAAACATGAAGACAGATAAAATCAACGTAGGAACTCACACAGAAGTGCATCACTTCAAGCTGCTACACTTCACAGGATAACAAGTGCACAGATTGATATCAAAGTAGATAAAGGTGTGTGGGAGGAGAGAGAAGACATGATGGGGGTAAAACTAGATCAGAATCCGAGACTCATGACTTGAAAGTCAAGTGATACACACCTTAACAACAAATCTATGTCATTATCATATCGGGTTCTTAATAGATAGAAAATTTTAGGTTAGGATGATTAATGGTTACAGCTGGAAATCCAAAACGTTTAGAATTTATCGACTAACTGTATATGCCTTCGTACTGAGACTCTAATCTACCACCCACTTCAACGCCAGGGCGTTTTGCGTTAGGCTATCGAGGCACAATAACCAGCACCTTAGTAGATTTTTCTTAATTGGAGTTGCTGGTCCCATCCATCGGAAAAGTTACTATTGGGATGAAGCGCGTGCTGGATTTTGCCGCTAGTCATCATTACTACAACAGTGAAATTGCTAGCGTAATGCATTGATATATTCACGCAGAAGGCAATGCACTGAAAAGGGTTAAACCAGTCAACAATGGGAAATAACAAGCTAAAAATATATATCTGTCAGTTATTACTTCTCCAAGGTGAATCTTGTATTTTCGCAACAATTACCAAATCTGCTAGAGTTAAGTGCGATTGCCGTAAAGTAGTGATGCAAGAACCCATCAGTACAGCAGACATCTAGAAAAATTGTGACTTTACACACAGGTTTCTAGTTCCGTGACAGCCACTCATTTCACTGTCCAAAAGCTGGATAGATAAGTTGACCTGTGTGGATTTAACACAAGCACGCCTGGCGTGGTTTGACATTTTCTCATTCCTTCTTCCTCTTTTTCCTTCTTTCTTCATCTAACAACTTTGTTGCTTGTTGTGCTGATATGAGACGTGGCAACTTGGACCGCTACACAGTACAGCCTGGCCGCATATTGAGTGAGTATAGTGGAGAATATTTGTAGCTCAGGTGGATGGTCTTGGTTGTATTGTGTTCTCTGAGCTAGGTTGTTTAATCGCGAAGCTTTCATTGTCTTTCTAGACGACATCGTCAGCACTAACTTCAGTATGAAGTGAGCTGTTAGGGCAGGCTACTAAATCACTCACGGAGAGATATTGACAGCCCGCTTCATACTGAAGTTGGTGTCGTCTAGGAAGACGATGAAAGCTTGACGATTAAACAACTCAGCTCAGAAAACACAATACAACCAAGATATTGAGTGAGTAGTTAAGTCGTATTCATTCCACTGTCATTGTAAAAACTATTGTCTGGACTATCACTGATACATTATAACTATACGATTTACCTCTTTCTGAGTTGAAAACGAGCAAGTAAGTGATTGATACCAACTGGTTATATTGTAACAACATAAAATCTCTCTCACTTTCTATCTATAGGCGATGACGCGGAGGCTGTGTCGTGGACAGATATTAGCTCTGAACTACACCTTTATGCAAGTCATCGTGATTTCATTGAACTAGTCGCCAGTTTACAAAAAGCAAGATGGTAGATTTTTGGATATGGACTGAATATCATCACCGAGAAACAAAAAAAAATTGATTTGTTCCCTGAGACATGATTTTATTCACTCTTTTTCTTTAAAAATTATTTTGTATACTTAGAATAATTTACATTTAGCTGAAGGATAATGTACAATCTTTCAACATATTTTTAAGCTCTTTTAATAGATAAATGTAAAAACACACTGGTTTATAACTGGTCAATGTCTTGTTTTGTAGAGACAGATAGACAAACAACCATTAGATCTTTACAAATTTGAAAACCATTATAAAATATGAAAAAAAGTGAAAGTTATTTTCAAAGGTAAAACAGGGACTGTGAAGGGACATATAAACAGGGGAACAGTAGTTACTGTATGTGAGATACAAAAAACACTGTAATGTAACGTTCTTTATCTGCCATCAAAGGAAGTAGTCTGGAATTGGTCGACGGGCTGGTATACTACGGACGTCCTAAAAATATCGAATAAATTTGATAAGAAAGGGGTGGGGTTAGACTTTAGTAAGACTCTCCTGCAGAATAAACTGATAATGACCCAAACTTGAATGATGAAAGGAACCAATGTTAGTGACATCTACTAATAGCGTCACGAAGCGAGAGTCAAATTAGTGTTGTCGAACCTAAACGCTTTGAGTCTAATCCCAACATTGCATGAGATTGAGGAGTCCCAAGACGAAGCTTTTTCAACAGGGTCTTATTTATTAGTTAGGTGGCCATGTCAAACAGCATCTATTGTCATGTCATCATATACCAAACATCTATAATAACTGTAAAGAACTCTACACTACACGACGAAGAGAGGATGTACGTGCGCGTTGGTGCTAGCGACAGAGCGTTAATTTGATAACGTAAAAGGAAGATCGTACTTTACGACCTACTAGTCTTTGAAATTCAATGACAAACGAAAAGAGGTAAGTGCAACTCATTAGCCACATGCAAGAGGCGATCTGTCAAGATTTTGTGTGCTGGAGTATGATAACACCCATCTGTTCAAACCTCTGTAAGTGAAGCTGGGTTTGATGACCTGACTAACTGCCTAGGTCAGTGAGCCAGAGGTTCACAAGTCGAATGCTACCTTGAAGTTAAGAAAGACAGCGGGTATCGAGCGTCACTAAATGTGCTCGTGTTCCAAAACGTGATACCTAGTTGGTACATCTAAGAATAGGTCTGAAACCTGGCTGTTTTTCTCGGGTTTGTTGTTCCCGAGTTTCATTAAACGTCTGGCAATTATAGAACCTTAGATGATATTGTTCGCCAGACTGATTCCCTTGTAGTTATCACAGCAGGATTTCTCACGTGTAAGCAGCGATTCAGACCAATAATCCATGACCATCGTCCTTAAATATCTACGGCTTTAGTTCATCATGATCTACTACCCTTCCTTGTTTCAAGGTAGCTAGAGCCTTCTTAATTTCTGTAAGCGTCGAAGGTTCCACCTAAATGGTCCATTCAGAATCTGATTGGACAGCGGAATAGTAACTGGAGGCTAGTTGAACTGTTTGTGGAAGTGTTCCGCCCATCTTTCCAGTCTCCCTTGCGGGTGAGTCGAAAACCCATTCTTTTTCGTTGCAGTCTCACTGGTTATTGAGCGTTTTACATTAGTTTCCTTGATATAACTCTACTGTTACCTATTCACCACTGTCTTTTCCAATCTCCTTACCGTTCACAGTCATTGCATAGACTATTTGTTAGTCTACATTTCAGTTGTTTCTGCTCCTCACTGTGTTTGTATCCTACGATTCTGAAAAAGCCACAGGGATCCACTGGCCTTTTCTAACCACCTATGACCTCATCACCGTTCTTACAGCAGACTGGGAATCGCACCAGGTTACTTCCGGATAAATGCTGTTCTGTTCCGATGATTGTCCGGTCAGATTTTTGCTAGAAGTAGCCTAAAGATTTTCACTGTCGATTTGCGCTCGGAATGGTTTTTCTGCTATGGTCCAAACATGTGCTCCCTAAGAAGCAGTTAGTCTCTCGAGCGATAATTCGCAGCAATATGGTCTATTTATGCTCATCGTTGAGTTTAGGTTGATAGACGCTAAATCAAACAATCATTTCTCTTAATGTTTGAAGTTTATACAGCTTTTTCTAGAGGTTTGAGATATCAAGTTATCTGTTTCCAATCTAGGTATGAACTCATGCCGCTGGCATCTAAAGACCATAGAGCAAGAAGTGGTATGTTATTTTGGGCCAACTTTTTTCAATACCACTACTTCCCGTAGGAAAGGCAGCATCAGCACATTGCTAGTCATCCGTGGGGAACATTACTACCGCCACACCATCGTCCAACCAACAGTAAAACTTTGCCCTCGGACCCCTATCGTAGCATCGCCGCTTACATTATAACAACTGCTTTTCCACTATCCAACAGATCTGGTATGACGAAACCTCAAGGAATAAATGTTCCCATCAGAATTGCCTGGTGAGTCATTATGATGGAGAAGCCTTATCACTAATATCAGGGTAGCAACCACCGGCTACCTCCAGAATAGTAAGGCTCTGGTTAACGATATCGAGCGACTTCAACTGGTGCCCGACTACGTTTAGTACCTAGTGCAGATTCGTGCACCAAGCAAATAGGGACATCTATTGTGAGAGTTTATAGTACTAGCTCCCTGACCAAACCTTTGTAGATGGAACGGAGGATGAACCCGTGTTATCTTCTAGTTTCAAGTCGGCCGCTTACACTGAGTAGGAACGTTCTAGTTTGGATTTGTGAGCTATTCACAAAGCACTCTATGTCAAGCTAGCTTGCTTCTAGATAATAAACTTATTCCCCTAAATGACAAATAAATTGAAGCTGCATATCACACTCTCAAACAGTAGTGAATCATCCTACCAGGCACTTATTCAAAACTAGTGGTCTTTTCAGAAACGCCATTTTTAGGCACCTCATGAAATCATAATCGGCAGTTAGGACTTGTAGAAAACTGCTTATACAGAGATGTACAGTAATAATAATAAATACAAAAGGTTATAGAAATCATTCCGAGAAGCAACTGATAATAGTTACTAGCGAACAAGTTTCACGTTTGCTGTTTGTAGTCAACCATATATACAATAAAAGCTTGTTTTGTCTACCAGATGTGCGGCAATGTCGTTAGTTAAATACGGTACAAATGAGGTACCTGAACTGAAGGGGGTTGCATAAAACGAGTCACACCTAGAGCCACTAGTCAATCAGCTTTCAACGTCCACTATGGAGAAAATCGTGCTGTTATGTCAATTAATAATATTATCAAACTTCCACCCTCGTGATAAACAGTATAAACAGTTGGAATGAAATGAGCACATATGATGCGGGATTCACAAAAACCACGCAACTAACCTGTGGTGCAGCCTCAAATATCGAGAATTCCTTGTCTAATCGTTCGCTAAGACGTAAAATAGCAGCAACATTCCCGCAGCGATAACAATAATTTGGAGCTGACCATACAGTGAGAACACTTTCATGAAAATGCCAACGATAACCTTCCATTACCAATTGATGTGCACGACAAATGAAATCGATTCGATTGAGCTAGACAGAAAAATAATATACTACATTTACATTAACATCCCAATGAATAGGGTTGAAATGTCTCGTTACATGATAGACGCCGAAGACACATCGATTGGAGCACTATATTAATGTAATGCAACTCAACTAGGTACAGGTTTATGAAACAGGCTATGAGCCACACTTAATACATGAGATTTCATGAAATCAAACGGTTGTACAGATCGGAGAAGGAACAAAAAAATTAAAGATAGGACGGTCGAATAAATAAGCCACTGAACCCGTATCTACCTTGTTCGAAGTTAAAGTCTACTATACAAGTCAGTGAGTGAACTACGGTTACAATTAACCTTACCCTTTATATCTCATCAAATCAACACTAATCTTCAATTATAGTAGCAGATTTTGACTTTTACCAACTTGAAGTTGAGTTCCCGATCATGAAAGAATTGCACCGATGGGCCATAACCAATGTGTTCTATGCTACTCGATAGAAGTATTTGTATTGAAGACGGTATCTGCTTACACTAAATGAAAAATACATACGTCACGTAGCCATGAGTGATTAACATGTAGAGACTGGTGGTACAGCGACACCTACTATTCATTAAAATACCAGAAAAATTAGTTGGATTGTCTACAAAAGACGGTCTATGAACGAACAGAACAACCATTGGAAAAAGATAACAAGATGATTACTGATGTAGTGAAATATAAGAAGCATTTTCAGAACGTTAAAACACTTAGAATCTTATCCTGGGACATTTTCTCTCGAGACAACTATAACGAACTATGCTTGTTAAGTGGGAAAGAAGAGACTAAACAGGATCACGAATTTCAACACTTACCTTATGTCTTTAGTTTTTCTACAGGTCAGTATGAGCCTTGATTCTTATGTGAGTTCCCAGGCAACTGGTTATTCAAATGCGGGAGTCTTTTTGTGGTCATATTTGCCGGTAGCGAAAACGGACAGTTTTTACATTCTTCTGGTTAGCACCCTACTATCTTGTTTTCCCTGTCTTTGATTTCTTGATCATAGATTATTGAAGTCAAATGCAGCTATAAAAATACTAAAATGCTTTACTGTACTCATTAGGTCAGATGCAAATGCTTCAATTCGTATATTCTTATTGGCTTAAACACTTGACTCTCATTAAATGGGTGCTGGGATAACACTATTCTTCACCTACTTCAGTCTAGTGTCGCAGGCATATTTGAGGCTTTTACCGTATAGCTGCTCCAAGTCAGGGGGTGTATGGATGCAAAATCAAAGGGTGAGAAAAGCGTCCTTAATGTGTCTTTCGATAAGTTGTAAGTCAGTGGGTTTATACAGTCGATTTTTGTTCGCATAGTTGTTTCTTGAGCTTACTGTACCCTCTTCACAGCAACCATGGGGTTTGAGGGTTAATATCTCGGACAAAATAATTAAATTACCCTTTTTTTGCTGCAACAAACAGGCTTCTCACTCTTTTGTCAGATGAAACCTGGGGATACTTTCCTCATACTGCGCAAAACACTATAGATTTGCGATAGAGCAAGATATTGATTTTCACTTTATCGTTGGCTACATCGGTATTGAAAAGTGTGGATCATATTGCTACAAAGGTGAAGTAATAACGACATTGCTACTGAATAATGCCGCTTGATAACTGTCATTTTAGTATCAACACTAGCACTCACTGCCTCGATGATTCAATTGATATGAAACGAACGATAAGCTCATTAAGTGGTCACTAGCAGTAATACCTGTCTGCAGAGGGAAGGTAGGATCCAAATGCCGGGCCACTTATCAGGTTGAATGCTTAGTGTCAAGACAAATGAAACCACAGCTTCATAATTCAGCTGAAAAGATGTGTAGGAACCGATCAAACTGAGAAGCTGAAACACTGGATGCAGCGAAGTGGGACGATAGTGAAGTGTTTCCTTTAGATTACCAACATTCTCAAAGGTTTGGTGCTTAAATATCAAGCTATAATCAACGCAAAGCGCTGTAGTACTACACTAAAACGACAGGTCATTTTTCGGCTAGTAGGAGAAGTGGTCAACTGCTAATTATTAAAAATCAGAGTAGAACTGAAAAACTAATCAGATGAAGAAATGATAGCAGACGAGGTCATGTGATCTACTCTAACAATGTGACACTGAATTATTGTCATTCATTCGGCTGGAAGCAATCTTCACTTTCTATATTATAAAGTTGAAAAAATCCCATTCTTTTAGTGTCCTCTGGAATAAAAAACTAGTGTTTAATAATCCGAAATTCTAGACAATTAATTTAGAGCGACAAAACTGTTCGTTACAAAGTTGGATGCATTGCTTGATCACCTGTCATGTTCTGCTTCAAGAAATACCTGCTAACATGAATTTAATTGTGGGCTTTATCAATTATTGCGATAACATTCAAAACCACTTATGAACCATACCTAATTTCATTCACATATAAACCTAACAAGATTAGGCGACCAAAGGTGTATAAAATGTGATATATCATAGTTGTTGTATACCAGCAACGCAGAAGAGAAGCTTTCAGTCACAAAAATGTACTGGCTAATTAGTTGGTTTAGGGGGTTGAATCCCAGCCAATGGGTCACGGGTTCGAACCCCCCACCTGCCAAGGTTAGGGCAGCCAGGTAGTATTGTTAGCCCTCAAACAATAGATGTGGCTCACTGCTCGCCACGCAGATGTACACAAAGTTGCTGGGCGGAGTTCGTAGTTAGTATTAAGAAGGGTGTAAAACAGATCACAGAAGTCTGATACGCCACTTACCTCAAAAACTTTGATGGAAATCTCGGTTTAAGGAAACAGAACAGTTAGAGTTTACAGTTAATTATGTAGTTCTAGAGACTTCAGAAATAACATTCATTTTATGTGCTGTTGGGATGCGCACAAATCATGGACGTTATAGACATGAAGTTGTTTTAATACGTCTACCGTATATATTAGTTTTGCATACAAGTAAATCCAACTTACCTGATTAAAATTAGCCACAACATCAGAGCCAAATAGATAACCTGCACCTCTTGGGCTTACTCCCCAACCTGCTGTTTCCTCTGGATCGGACCATAAAAGATCACACATTGGACCATCATGTGGGACCTCCTGTTTTCTATCAATTGTACGAATCTGATCCAGTGTTGTGATTGTAGGTGATAGACCGCCATGAACGCAGAATATCTTGAAAGAATTAACGTTTAAATGTGCAATTATTAATGTGCCCAAAATATCAAGTGAAAATTCGTAATGCTTAACCTGGTATCAATGTTTTGTGAAAATTGAAAACCAAAATGCTGCTTGCTAGTCTTAAAGAACATTGGTTCCGAAATTAACCAATACAACTCATAGGTTTTCCACTAGACTTACAGATAGTTTAATGGCATTCTATCAGCCTACAGTAAACTTTCAAGAGAATGAATTAAAAGCAAGTATTGTTACATGCTCCAAAAAGAACACCTCAATAGTCAGTTAAAGTTAGTGTAATAGCGTAGTTAATGCAGAGTGGCATAAGATCAACCGCGGGAAAGAACACTTCTAAAGTAACTGCTCAACTGACCAATACAAAAACATGAATGTTGAACTGACTCGCTTTTCACTGCTACAAAAGTAAACTGTGACTATGAAATCAGTATCACTATTTTTAATTAAACAGGATAAAGTAAGAAAAAAAACAACTTTCCACCACATCTGGTGAAAATGCCTAACATTAAATATCATGCGTACAGATGCTCAACACTGAGCTCCAAGTATTTCCAACAATTTACTACATGGTGGTTTGCATCATAAATGAGTATCATTTGATAAACATTTAAAAGGTGAACAGCACTTTAAAATTGTTTTGTTTTGATTGCTGTAGGACACTGAGAAGTCATCCGAAACCCATCTTCACCTAACAGGCCTAGATAATTTCTAATCTAATTCAACAAGGTGGTGAGTTACGAGACCAATCCCTGGCAAAGTTAGAAAAGGAAAATGAAACTTTTACAGGCAGTCCACCGAAATTTAAACAAGATTGTCGACATCCACAATAGGCAGCTCACTGCAGGCTCTAAACGATTGCGGATATGTAGGTCACAAACCCTTCAGTAAGGTGATGTACTTGCCAGACACTTATTTCAGTGCAGCGCTACCACAAGAACTCTCAATTTTGCAAGTTAAATGTCACCTTTAAGTCAAAAAAATACACCCAATGCCAGTTACTGATAAGTGCGTCTATCTCCCAAGATCTAGTAGAGGATGAAAGTCTGAGTGATACACCTACAAGTAGAACTGATATTTGTTTGGTCTTTTCGAATTTGCTGCTATTTAAATGTAGCTAAACATTAAGATAGAAAAAACACAAGTTGCGAATTCCCTAATAAAAAAAACGCTGATTTGAAGATGCCATCAGTGGTCAGAATACTCAACTTTCAGGCATCCTAGCCTAAAAGACTGCAAGATTTCATTACTCGACTCAGGCTCTTCAAAATGAGTCCCTGAGAACTCCTTAAGTTTCGGGACTATTGCCTTCCAAGCAATGATTTATCTATAAACTAGTAGTGGATATACTACGATTTCAATTGTCATATCTCAACACGATACAGACAAACAATGTAGCACAAGACTAAAAAATCAGATTCAAATCATTGAACTATGGGTGAGGAAAGCAAACGGATGCATGTGTGTCACATAAAGTCATCCCAAGTCAAATTATGCACTCTGTTTAACCAGTATTTTGTTTGTAGAACTGAACGACACCCAGTTTACAGGATATGGTATGCTCGGAACTTAAAACTGGAGTCAGTTAATATGCATGCCAGTCAGTCAGAATCAAAGTGGGACCTAGGCATCACTCCTTAACGGCTCAAGTTGCTCCACCTCATATCACCTTGTCAAACCATAAGGCAAAATGATGAAAGACAGAAAAATACGGAAGAAAGTAGTTAAAAGCAGTAGAAAGTCATAAAAAGAGAACCAGAAGGAATAAAAAGTAATGAAATTCATTACAGTGACCACGAGAGGGTGTGGATGCATCTGTATCAATCAGATGTGAATGCAGAGTTTTAAGGAGGAAAGTCAGTTGGTGTGGTTGCGAACCTTTATCGACTGAGATGGCTAGGACATGAGCTACGTATGCTTAGCCACCATCTGCCGCATCGCATAATGTTAGCCGACGTAGGTTCAGGCTGAGGAAAGGTTACGGGTGGCCAGACTACAACATGGCATCAATGCATGAAGTCCTTGACTGTTCGTTAGAGCCATGTAGGCAGATGCAGACTAGCCGGTTGGGGTCAGCGGGACAAGAGAAACTAGTGGTCGGAGACTCAAGGTGATATACCTCAGAATTGATGTCAATGGCGCAGATGTATGCACACACTATCCTTATCTTAACAACAATACTTAACCTAATTTTTCCACTCCTTTTTCTTCTCTTTTACTGCTTTCAACTTCTTCTGACCGATTTTTCTTTCTTTCTTCATCTCCCATCTTATTTATCTGTTACTTGACGCGCTGTTGTGAGATGTGGCAACTTGGACCATTACACAGTAATGCCTGGTCCTATGTTGATTTTGATGCGTCGAATAGTCTTTGAAACGGCTGTCGTAAGAAGCTGGAGGGCACTGGTCACTTTATCATGAAGAGGTGCTACGAAATCATAGTCAATAATATCTTCACAAGGTAGTTATAGGAAAATTTCTCTAACAGGTGAATTCAATATAGCTCAGTGGGTTTGAAAAACGTTGAAGAAGCAAACAACCAATCATGCAGCAAACCAGTGACATTATGTCATCTGATGACCAAACTCACTGGCAAGTTGTAAGAAGACCAAACAGAGTTGAAATTGACACTACGATTCACAGAACAAATTTCAGATACTCGCAGTGTCTCTTTATTTTAGCCAACAGTTACGGTTCGAAGCTAGTGGACCCATCTGCAAGTGACAAACTGAAATGCTTTGTAAAAATACGGAGATTTTGCAACCACTTACTTCTCAGTCTCAGGTATTCCATTTATAAAAAGTGGGTCACAGGTTTGAGCCAAGCCCCACCTATCGTGATCTGAGTAGTCAGGTGGTATCACTAGCCACGAAATAGGTGTGATTCATCACATAATACACACAAAGAAATCAACACAGAACACTACACACGAGTGCATCGGCTCAAGTTGCTACACTTAACAATAATATACAAAGAACGGGTGGATAGAAAGGGTTAACATCAAAGTAAACAAAGGAGCATAGGAGGAGACGGAGTTTAAAAGTGAAAGTGACCAATAATTTAAAAGACATCAGAGAGCGAGTACACCTGCCATTTCCCCGAGTCCTAAACCGACCGTTTTTATTTTCTTGAACCAGGTTCTTTACAGCTCACTATGCGGCTCAGCCTACCGGTTGGAGACTTCATGCCACGTCTTAGTCTAGTCATCCTGAACCCTCTTCCCAGCTAATCCAACTTCCCACATTACACGTGGAGACAGGCGTTGGTCCGGTATGTGCAGCACATATCCCAGCTACCTTAGTCGCTGAAAGTTTGCAACCTCATCGACCGGCTTTTTCTTCCTTTGCTCAGTACGTTTTCTTTAACCCTTACATTGCCTACATGGTGATTCTACCATACACGAGCAATGTTACGGAGACACTCATCGTCAGACCTGTAGCCTCTTCCTACCTACCTCTAACAGTCATTTTTCACGGTTGCAGAATAGGCCAGAATGAACTGCAGTGCAGCCTACTCGCACTCTGACAGGTAGTCGGGGATCCCGCCGGCGCCACAGGACGTAAGTTGGCGAATGCCACACAGCTCCTCTGTATCGAGCTGAGATGCAGTCAGCAACCGGCCCGTTCCGTCTGATACGAACCTCAAGTAAGTGAAGTGGTTGACGCATTCCACTATTTCACTGACTATTCTTAGACGAAGTAATTGCAGACCAGTTCTGAAGCACCATCTTACACTTACATGCGAGACGCATGTATACAACATGAAGGTGCGAGTGGTGGTTGACTGTTTCGGCTTTTGTTTCCACCTTCAACAACTCACAATATTAGGTAACAATGGATCAATTTTCAGATGCAGCTGTCACTGAAGATTATGGCGTAAACCGAACGATAGACGCAATAGTAAACTCGATAGGTATGTTGTAATTGAATCCTGTCTTTTGAAGCTAACGTATTGCAAAAAACCAGTATATACGCAGACTTGCTACCATGCTAATTCAAGGGGACAATTTAGACTGTGATAAGTATATAAACCTACCACTGCCCACCTGCATCACGGATGATGGTTCCCAGAAAGGAACGCCGGACGGATTGACGGACTAAGTCGTGACAATAACGGCTTACATGATTCTTCCGTACACCTGATTGTATCTGAAAACTCATAAAAAGTGGGGCGTCACAACGGTAGGTCAATACCTAATGATATCTCCACTTGCACACGAAACAATAAAGAGAAAGCATATACATGCACAACTCGTTTACTTACTCTTCCATCAATAATAGCAGAAAGGCATAGATAGTCGAATATTTCAGTACACTGTCTCCACACCATTGCTGAACCATACTTCCTCAGACATTCTTCGTAGAATCCATAAACCATTGTTATCTGTCGGCTCTCATGGTTTCCTCGTATGAGAGTTATCCTGTCTGGGTATCTCACCTACACAAATGAGCAAAAAACAAGTTATTCACCTTTAGGGCAAGGAGGAGTAGGAAAGTTTCAACACTGTGATAACCACGGTCGACAAAGTCGCCCAGGAAAAGGTAGTTCGTGTCTGGAACATCACCACCAACTTTGAAAAGTTCTATCAAATCGTAGAATTGACCATGAATATCGCCACAAACCTAAAGGACATTATCGCAGTAATTACAAATTACAGTCACTGGAGAATCAACGCATTGGACATTGCTTTCCTCTATTAGGATCTCTCTGGCTTTCGCACAAAGTGCTTTAACTTCGTCTTCAGTGATAAGTTTACATGCTCTTAGCTGTTCGATTTGACGGTCAAGATCGCTCTTCCCGGCCATCTGAGATGCTTTCGACGTACCGCGTCGATTTCAAACCAAATTAAGCTCCTTCAGCCTTTGATTCAATATTCAGTCCCTTTCGTTGAACGTGGCTGAACCGACTGATTTACTTGCGATCACTCATAGGTCAGGCGAAACGATATCAGGCCTTTGGTAAATTCTGATACAGTTGGTCTACTCACCTACCTGCTGTAGCTATGATAGACCTTATGGGCAATTCAGTATTGGTCAAATTTGTAACAGGGTTATGTGATTTGTCCCGGGACTGTGATATATATGGGTCCTTCACATATTATTTCATCAGACAATTGTTTGGACTGGTCGTAAAACGAGATAGAAAGCATGAAAAGATGTCCACCAAAAACGAAGCAGAGAGTGTGAGAAGAAACACGTTGAAAAGAATCAGAAATACCCGAACCTGGGTAGGTTCAGTGAAGAAGGGGGAAAAAATGTTGATAAAGAAAACCCAAGTCGGTAGAGTAAAATCACGAACTCAGGGGGGAGAAAAACAGTACTTAAGATCATAGCACGGTAAGTGGGAATTGAAATGGTTTTGCCTTTGGTGGGGTATGGTAACAAGAGGTCAGACAACTAACGGGGAATTATAATGTTGAGCCAAGACCACGATAATAGTGCCAGTACAAGATAGTCGGTTTGAAGATGACCTTTTTGGAATGCTGAAAAATCAGTTATTTGCTTTGGTCTAGCTTAATACCTTAGCTGGATGGTTGCAGTCCGCATCTCTGCGTCGCTGTCTAGACTTTTACCAAAACTGTCGACAGAGCTGTAGCGATCTCGGCAGGCAGTAAGTTCCAATTGGTGCAAATTAGGAGACGAAGGAGGCGCGAACGCCAAGAGGTTTTCGCCCTTTGGTGGGTGATTTTCTTGGTGTTTCCACGAGGATTTCCAAAGTAACCGCTTGATAGAATTTCACTATTCGGGTTGCTCGGATTACTTAGTATCTTGAAGGCCGTCAAAATTCGTTACGCCACTTTCCATGCCGAAAAGACAAAAGGCCTGAATTCTTCTCTCTATCCTCACGGGGTTTTATGGAATTCCTGCAACGCCATTCATGGCTGGTCGCCACTGGGCATTTTCCAGGAGGTTCTCATCTCTTTTCAGGGAGGGTGGTGTAATGACGTTGTGAAAAGTAGGATCAGAGGGCTGAGACTTTTGTGCGGAGCTCTCTGTAGTCTAAATAGTCCTCTAGCTTGGACGGAACCTGGCCACTGATATTCGGTCTTGCTATTTTGCACATGAGGATAGCGTGTTAAACTACGCCAGAAGTTTTGGCAAAATGTGGGAAATCCAAATGAACAGGCAGTTGGAATTCCTAAAGTGCTGTACAGTTATCCTAGGCTACCTAAAGATTGAAAGTGCAGGACCTACCATTTCGGAGACCGTACTGAGCACCAGTTTATTCTCGTTTTCCGTCCAAGTACGTCCCGACATAGTCGTCATCAGGCTCCCCATTACGTATTATTGATGAATAAGACTGACCAACTCGGTCTAATCGACGATAGAATAATACAAGCGACAACAGAGAAGGCTGTCCATTACTTTTGACGGCACTGGTAGAAGTGTTGTTGATCGATAGAACTGTGGGTTGTACATGTCTCTTCCCTTCAGTACGGGAGAGGCGATAAATGTAGACGGCAATCGACATTTTGGCAATCTTCAGTTCAGAAAGGTCGTCTTCGTTCGGATCTTTCATAGTGCTGGCCCCGTGGTCAGTGGGCCTTCTCTATGGGCTCTTGTTAGCCTGTATTCACTGTCAAAGTTGGCATTTCAGGAGACCTGTATTATTCTTATAAATAAATAAATATTTTGTCCTCAAATTAAAAGTTTGACATGAGGGAAGCCAGTTTCCATGCATCATCAGATTGATGATGGTAAAGAAACTGCCAGTAGTCAGGCTGTCCTGAGTGAAGGTATCGCATCAGGGTTTATCATGATATCAAAAGTGCCTGCAGGTTATAAAAAGAACATAGAAATATCACTTCACAGTACATACGGATTGCTTATGAACTTCGGTTGTCTCTACTCACCATTCTTTTTTGCACGATAAGGTGATACCAAAATCGTACAATATTCGACGTTTGCGTTACATGTGACCTGGCTGTATAGTTCCGTGTGTCGTTAGATAAACGTTTATTTTAAAATCGGTCCACATGTTTGTGGTATCGTTGGCCAACGAAAACTCAGTTCATCGATTTCAGGTAACGGTAAGCGTTAGCATAACCATATAATCCACGTGAGTGTTTGAATCCCCTCATTTCCCACTCGTAGTGTCACCTTACTCAGAAATGCAGACCTAATCCATCAGAATTCGTTGTTGCTGTACAAAGAAATAAACATTTGAGGGACTTTTATCGAATGGTGATGGAGTTTTGCTCGTAGAGTTCACATTGAAGCATACGGAATTATCAAGCAGTTATGTTGGCTGTTGTCCTCTATGAAACGGAGCCAAATGAGGTGAAGTACTGGAGAAGTTTGTTTGCGAACATGTCTCACTTTGGGTCACTTGGTGAGTTTATCTCTTAGACTTAGTTGCTTGTCTAGATTTTTTCCGCCATTATGACCGTCCAGAAGCCTTGGATCACTTACTGTAGTTGGGTTTTCGTACATGGTTGCATCTAGGATGTTGGCAACTGAGCGAGTTTGCTGTGGAACTTTTCCGAAAGTTGAAAATCAGTAGGGGAAGACCAGGGGAAGGATTCTTTCAATAATTTCTGGTATCAAGTATGAAGTAGTATATTCAGTAGGTTGACAATTTTGGTCAAAATTGTGCTCAAGGCTTTCTCTCCAAACTGAAGCAGAAAAGAGAAGAAGAAAAGGAAGGCACGGGCAGAGATTAATTCATCAACTCTCTATAGCTAGCACTTCTGTCTATGGTCTGCGAGTCGATGGGTGGCTCCTTGGGCACGAGCCGCCCGTACCATGGTATTTGAAATGTGAACCAAACCTCCTGCCGGGAGCATCAAGAAAACAAGGTGTGACGGCTTCCGCACAAAGGAGTTCCACAATATACATACTGCGACTGTGAATAAGTTAGGTCGCTCTCTCAAGCTGTATTCTTAAAAAGGACCTCTGAGGTGGCGTTTTTCGTTAAATTCTAAAATCGGTAAGCTGGAACGAAGGTTATGAGCGATGTGACAAATCATGATCACATCAGCTATGAACCTCCTGTATCGTAGCAGGTGCAGGATAAGAGCAACGAAGCGGTCCTGATGAGGTGTTCGCCGTAACTCAATCACTTTTTCGTATCTCTTCTCTGAAACTGTTCCAGGACGGCCACATCCCTCTTACAGAATTGAGGTGCAACCAGCAAAGCTGTGTTGACTAACCTATTGGAGGAGGTTGGTGGGAATCCCCTCCGACAACCGTCACTGAACACTTACCATATTTGATTTCCAAACCCTGGTGTTTAGACAGTTTAGTTAATTTATTTATCCAAAGCTTGACCGCTGACCTATCTACGCTTATTTGCAGAATCCATATAAATTTGGTAGCAGAAGAAAACAACAAGGAGCATAAATCAGCATACCAAGTAAAACATTGATACCGATTCAGAGAGTCCTGGTGAAGACCCTTTGATATACCACCTATCAGCAGGCTTACAGCCTAAGTAAGGCTCCATGCCAAATGATGCCTGCCAACTGGAATTCGGGTAGAGCATTAACTAATGATACCGTAAGTTACCCTACAATATCAACGACCTAAGGTGCGGTGGGGTCCAGAAACGACCCTGACTTTCATTTGTCAACAGGACTCGCTTAGCTCAAAACATACGGACAAGCAACCACGCCATTCGGCACGTTGTCGTGTTATGCTGAGCGGCTCACAGGCTGTAATCCAGGGTAGCTCGGTTCGGGAAGTAGTCACGGGTGATTTTTCAATCAGCTGACGTTGTGGAAGATGAAACAGGCCAGGAAGCTGCAAAATCAAACAGTTTCCGAGCTTTCGCTGGTGTGTACCTTGTTTTTGTTGATCCACATCTGTTACTGTTAACGTAGTGTAACACAGACCGTTAGCAATTTGTAAGTGATGTACCTAATCTTCACATCCCACGGGAATGTTACATAATTTAGCAGGAAATGTTGCATTTATTAATCAGGTAATCGATTTAATAGTGTTTTTTCACGATTTAAGTGCTAATAAGCAACAGAAAGCCCAGTTAGTTTTCTTCTTGCTTACCCTTCGTTTTCTGACTCCCGAAAGCTTTAGGTTCCTCCCTTGAAATGGATCTTGGTTCCATACTACCGTGTATTATGCATATCACGAAAATCATGAAAACGCGCTGGAAACTTGTTTGTGCGTGCAACATTTCAATGAAGTTGCAGCCTTCGACATTTTAATGCTAGTGAAGTCGTCATCACGATTCAGCCATAGTTCGAAAAGAACTGTTAATGGTTGTAAATATGGCATAACAGAGTCAGTGAGAAGATTACGTTCCCAAGTACCAAAATCTACCGTGGCACTGTCCGGCTTAATGCAAGTGATGCAACCACCACCTCAACCATTATGTCCGTCCATTCCAAACAGTCTTACTGCCGACAGAGACATCAGTGCCAGAAGAATCTGAAGTGCACCAAGCTTCGGTGATGAACATTAGACATGGGTTAGATGCAATCGACAACATGGTAATCACCATGACTTTGTTGTGAACGGAATAGGCGTTAATCAGGCAGAAGGTCAAAGAACTAGAACCAGTGGTAGCACTTAAACATATTTTCGCAAACCTTGTTTCGGCAGGTCAGTTTGAACTGCAATTGTGAGATACATGAGGCAAGACTAGATTTCGGTGGCATGGGGGGCCAATAGGAAATTCCTAGGTCCCCGCTTGCATTATCCTTTGTTGAGTCAAGTGTTGACGTAATCTGGTTGAGCCAGGGGGATGGCAGGTTGCAGAGGCATCCCACCTACCACCACTGTGGTTGCGGGCTGAGGCGGAGAGTTGATGGTTTGAAAACGTCATCAATTGGAAAGAGAAAGGTGCTGCCGGCCTGTGCACCTAGATTTTCAGCATGATTTTAGGGACAGAT